GTGTGCATGAGAGAGAGAGAGAGCGAGCATTGAGTACAGATATGAATGCATGTGTGCATTATGAACGGTACCTAAGATTTCAGGCTATCATTTGCAAATTTTGTTTACTTTTTATAAGGTTCCAATAACTCATATATCATTGTCACAGTATAAACAAAAGGACTTTACTATTGGTACATATTGTGTTTTGTGTTTGTAACTAGCCTCCTATTTAAGAATGTATATTTGTATGTATGATATACTCATCTAGAAACTATATAATGGACAATTTTAATATCGCTTTATCCTCTCATCACTGTACTGCTCTTGCCAAGACACATAACTCACACACACACGCAGGAGACATGCATACAAGGAAAAATACATCTATAAAACAAAAAAAATGCAGTCAGTTTAAAGAAAAAAAAGTGAATACTAAAGACTTTTCCATGTCTTTCTAACCAGGTTCAACTTCAGTTTGTGGAACCACAGACAATTTATAATAATGATAATAATAATGGAGGGCTTTCAGGTGGTGTTACACATCCTCTGGGGGCCATATTGGAGGTCCTGGGTTCGTTGGTAGCTGAAAACAGTTGGTGTGTTATTTTAAACTCTGCCAACTCAGCAGTTAAGATATGGTTAATTTGCATCTACTTTAAAGGTTGGACTTATTTTGTCATGCTAAAGACTGGTACATGTGGCTGGTTTTGTGTTAACATAATGCTTGTTAGCTGACTAACTGTGGTATTTGTCAGTTGACTGTCACCATTTTGGTCTGAACAAATCTGATTTAAACACTAAAGTGCACATCTAGTTGGGCATCTAATTGGTGTAGTAGTTAATAGAAATTAGTAGGCGTATATTGACATATCCATTTTTGTCAGATATTTCCTTTCCTTGTTTGCCAGCCTGGGTGGGTCAAGGTTGCACACTTGCATTTTCCACAGCCTTCTTTTCATAGTTTTGACCATCATTCTTATCAGTTATCAGAATATTTCACTCACAAATAGCACTGCTGAGATTTAGGGACTGCACTGTAAAACAGTAAGTAGATAGGTCAAAATTGAACCAGGAAGTAGCTTACAGTGGACAGTTAGGTCAATAAATAGATGTTTTATATGGCTCAATACGGCCTGGTGAGTTAAGGCTGAAACATGCTTTTCTGGGCTACTTCTAGGCAAACATGCATCTTTTATATTTCCGTGTACAACTTACTATAATGTTTACCTTTATTCTTCTACATTTTGGATCAACTAATCCGCTTGCTTTACATGCAGGTCCACACAATGCATTGTTGAGATTTGGGAGTGAGCACCATAGTCTCTCTAAGAGCATCTGCAATACAATAACCTGCTGTAGCAACAGTTTTTGCATAGGTTTACAGAAACGTTTACATGTATCTTTGCAGAAAAATAATTCCAGCTTTAGCCATGCTGATATATGCACCCAGGGGCCAAGTTGGATACTGCTATAAAACATATCTCAATAAACATATGTTTATTTTGAACACAATTATCAAAGAGAAATCTTTAAAAGTATTGATAGGACACACAAACTCCTGCAGCAAGGTAAATATTTGTTCTTTGTGTTATGAGTTTGGTCTTTTTTTGTCAAACTTTACCAGTAGTAGTAGTAGTAGTAGTAGTAGTAGTAGTATAAGACTGGTCACTGGGCTCAAGGAAAGAGACAATAATACACTAATGCACATGTGCAGTAGGCCCCACGATATGTAAAAAACTAAAGAGATAAAACATGTTGGCCCATGCGCTGTGCGCCATCTTGAAGTCTGGTATCCAGTTATACAGTCACTGGCTAATGATGCTCACATTTGACCTTGTTTTCACGGTTTAGAAATGTGTTATAAATATTTGCAATGCAATGTAACAGTTTGTGAGTAAAATGTTATCGTAAGAATGATGGCCAAAACTGAATAACTAAGATCCTGGTTGTAGAAAAATACTGATAATAACGAGTGTTGTTTACTTTTTTAAATGGACCTCCATGATGGAACCAGTCCTGCTTGATTTGAGTTTTGTGTTGCAACTGTAAAGCCTCTCTAACATAAATGATCTCTGCTGGAGATGTTGACGGTGCACACATAAGACACCCAGGGACACCATCAACTAGTGTGCGTAAAAATATAGATGCAATATTGTAATTGACAATAGCTGTATGTTTGTGTGTGTGTGTGTGTGTGTGTGTGTGTTGTGTGTGTGTGTGCGCGTGTGTGTATAAAACATGGGCAATAGCTAAGCATCAGTGCTTCCATCCATGCACATGAGCTAATGTACAAAAGGTAAAACACCAAGGCAATAGGCTGTGTGGCCTATTGTATGTTCCGGCCCACGACAATCCTCCCTTTCACTTTATCTGATACCATCACAAGATCTGCAATATTCTATCAGAAACAGATGATCTGCATCAATAACTGCAACTTTGTGTTCAGTTTATGAGTCTAATGTTAAGATCTGGAGCTTTTCTTGTCTGACAAATTAAGCAAGTGTAGGGATGAGTGCTTTGCAGTGTGTGGTAGTGTGTGTACAACATGTACTGTAGGTGGTTATTAAGTTTGATCAGTCCCTTCACAACCAACATGTGCTCTCATGCAGAGACTTCCCCTATATGTGTGCCCCTCAACATCCTACATGTTCTAAATGTTTTGGAACTTTTTAATACACCATGACGAGATCAGCTGTATAATGCAGTGTCATCTGCAAAGAATTTTATACAGTTTTTTTGGTCTTTCTTTTGATGTTTTGTGTGAAGATATCTGAATATTACA